GTCCCTCCTTTCCCCCCCCCCCCCCTCCCCAGGCCGAGCAGATCCATCCAGCCGTCACTGCCTGCCTGCCTGCCTGCCTGCCGGGGGAGGGCAGATCGGGAGAGGCGATCTGGCAAAGGTGCAGCCAGCCGGCACGCCTCATTTCGTCTCGCCGCACTCGTGAGCTCCGCTCTTCACCGGCACAGGGTAGCCGCCCGCGCCGCTTCGGCTGCCTACCTGGCCCGGCCCCACCTGCCGCTGCCCCCTCCCCTGCCCGGCGTGCCCTCTGGCTGCAGCATTCTTCCGCCCCGAGCCAGGATCGTGGCCATGCTGTGGATCCGCCGCGACCGGCTGCTCATCCTGCTGCTGCTCGGGGCGCTGTTGAGCGCAGACGTCTACTTCCACCTCTGGCCCCAAGTGCGGCAGCGGCTGGCCGGGGACAACGCGGGCCGGTCGGGGGGACCTTGCGCCTGCCCGGGGGAAGAAGCCGCGTCTGCCTCCAGCCTCCAGCCGCCGCCGCCGCCAGACAGCGCGGAGAAGAACGGAGCGGAGGAAACCAGCCCGGCTCGCAGATCCAAGCTGCGGCGGCTCTTCGCACACCCCCTCTACAGCGCCCCCGAGCGGCCGGCGGAGAAGCTGCTCGGCAGGCAGGAGGCGCTGCGCTATTACCGCCGGAAAGTAGCCCGCTGGAACAGGTGCGAGCGGACGGGAGGGGCATCAAAGCGGGAGGGGGGCTCCACGCGGTATCCCCGGCAGGGAGATCGCTGAGCAAACGCTCGCCCAGCCTTTCCCTCGTCTCTGTTTGGCTCTTACGACCCGTAAATTGAAACTTTTGTGGCGTGTTTTTTTTTTAACAACCAGGAGGGCTAGAAACTTGCTCATTTTGTGCAAAAGTGAAATACCATTCATTTGCGCAAATAAGGGTTTTTTGCAAAGTCAGAATATTTCATGGAATTTTATAAACATTTTAACTTGATTGTTTGCTGCCTTGAGAGCCCTTTTCACTTGGATTATTTATGCATTTTTTTAAAAAAAAATCACTTCTAGTTACACTTAAGCCATCTTCTGTTCTGTAGCTCAGGAGCAGCTGGGGTTCTTCAGATTGCAGTCCAATGCCACTTAGCTTGAAAGTCTGTTGGACATAGTAGCAGACCCCATGTCACCTCTCACCTTCAGCGTAAGAAAGTGTTTCCTATTGAGTCAGCTCTTCATGTAGACTGGTATTATCTACTCCAACTGGCAGCAGCTCTGCAAGGTGTCAGGCAAGATCTTCCTGAGCCCTGGAACTTGACCTTCTCTGCATGCTCCTTACTCCTGATTTTCTTGACACTCAGTCCACAAGCATTGTCATGGGTTTGGGCACAGTTCTTCTGCATGTCTGACCTCCCTGTGCATTTTTCACACTTGTGGAGTCAGCACAAAAATGCTTCTGGAAATCGGGATAAACTAAAAGTGTACAGAGCCAAACAGTGGGAAAGCTGCTGTTTGAAGCACAAGAGCAGGCTATGTTGTGTGTGTGTGTGTGTGTGTGTCCCGGGGTCATTTAGCAACCCTACTAACATATTAGGTATGGGTGGGGAAATAAGTTGTCGTGATGTTGGGGTTCAGTGCAAAGTCTTCTTTATTTAGATACTTATAACCTGCTCCTCTCTCCAGTGGAATGAAAAGTAGCTTATAACATCATTCTGTCTTCCTCCATTTTATCCTCACAACAGCGGTGCTGTGAGGTCAGTTAGGTAGAGAGAGAGTGACTGGTCCAAGGTCAGGCAGTGAGCTTCCATGGCAGAGTTGGGATTTGAGGCTGAATCTCCCAGATCCTAGTCTGACACTCCCAAACTGAGTTTCCTCAGTGACATCTGGGAGTTGGCCTCTCTTTCTCGTGGCAGCTATTTCTCAAGTGCCACTTCAATGTGGTGTTTTCTACACAAGGACAGGATTGTGCCACCAAGGATTTTCAGGGTTTTTAAATTGACATTAGGTTTCAATATCTTTATGATGTTACTAGGAATAAGGCCTGTTGTGGAAATAAATACAACGAGCTCTAGAAAGAGGCTCTGAGCAGATGCCCTGGCCTTGGGCACTCAGTGTCAATTTGCTGTGGTGACCTCAACAGGGTATAATGACACACAGAGTCCACCATTTTCTCCAGGGGAACTGATCTCTGCCATCTGAAGAGGTTCAGTGCAAAGTCTTCTTTATTTAGATACTTATAACCTGCTCCTCTCTCCAATGGAATGAAAAGTAGCTTATAACATCATTCTGTCCTCCTCCATTTTATCCTCACAACAGCGGTGCTGTGAGGTCAGTTAGGTGGAGAGAGAGTGACTGGTCCAAGGTCAGGGTTTTTAAATTGACATTAGATTGCAATATCTTTATGATGTTACTAGGAATAAGGCCCGTTGTGGAAATAAATACAACAAGCTCTAGAAAGAGGCTCTGAGCAGATGCCCTGGCCTTGGGCACTCAGTGTCAATTTGCTGTGGTGACCTCAACAGGGGTATAATGACACACAGAGTCCACCCTTTTCTCAAAGGGAACTGATCTCTGCCATCTGAAGAACAGTTGTAATTCTGAGTGATCTCCAGTCCTCACCTGGAGATTGGCAACAATGGTTCCCCAAGAGGAAATTGGTTTGAAGGGTGGAGTCTATGGCATTGTCCCTGACTGAGGTCCCACCCCTCCTCAAACGCCATTCTCTTCAGGCTCCACCCCTGTAAGGTAGGTTAGGCTGAAAGTCTGTGGCTGGTCCAAAATCACCCACTCAGCTTCCACAGCAAGAACTTGGGTCTGGCAGACCATGCTCTGAAGCGCTAACTGCTATGTCACACTGGCTGTCATAGGGTGGCCACCTCAGCAGGGTGTAATGACACAGAGTCCACCATTTTCTCCAGGGGAACTGATCTCTGCCATCTGAAGAGCAGTTGTAATTCTGAGTGATCTCCAGCCCTCACCTGGAGATTGGCAACAATGGTTCCCCAGGATGACAAGTACAGTCTTTCTCCGCAAGTGGTGACAAAAGCAGCTCACACCATTCTCCTATCCCCCTATTGATCTGCACAACAACCCTGTAAGGTAGGTTAGGCTGAAAATCTGTGACTGGTCTGAAATCACCCATTCAACTTCCACAGTAAGAACCTGGGTCTGGCAGACCCTGCTCTGAAGTGCTAACTGCTATGCCACACTGGCTGTGGTATCACCTGGTATCACAACTGAACTCCAGACAACAGATCTCTCTCTCCCCTTGGAGAAAATAACTGCTTTGGAGGGTGGACTTTATGGCATTCTGTTCAGCTGAGGCCTCTCCCCTCCCCAGACTCTGGCTTCCATTGACTCCACCACAAAATCTCCAGGAATTTCCCAACCTGGACCTGGCAACCCTAGTCAGGACTGGCCCCAATAAGTTCCCCACAAAGGCCAAAGTAGGCCTGGAAAGGGCCTCCTCCCCCACCTTTTTACTGACAGAACCAAGCTTTGTTGCCCAGCAACAGCCACTGATGGGAAAGTGAGGCACACAGCAGGAGGAGAAGGGAATGGTTTGATGGCCACTGGCCCACCTAAATAGCCAGCCAGCCACGGAGGTGCCAAGCAGGAGAATGTCAAAAGAGACAGCTGTTTTGGCAGTGTATTCTGAGAGGAACAGTGGCCAGCCAGGCTGGCAGTGGGCAGAAGAGAGGAGCAGACCCAGTACCCAGCCAATGGCATGTGAGTACTCTTGAGTGGCATTTGACAAGCCAAATGGCTGATGGAGTGCGCAGCACAGCCAATGGGAGAAATGAAAAGTGCCAATACACCAGGGCTTTTATATATATCAGATAACAATATGTGTATCAAGTTCAGCTTTCATTTTTAAAAAGGAAGTTTCTGTCCATTTTTGTTACAGAGATATAAGAAGAAAGGTATATCACCACAGTGAAAAGGGCTAGAAAGCTCCTTTTTAAAAATGAAAGCTGGCATTCAGAGAACACAGATTCACAGCTAAGATTTCATTCAAGTTCCTATCTCTAAATAATCACAAAAATGCTTACCTGAGTGAGCAGCATAAGAACAGTAGGTAGAAACAAAAGATCATTAAAGTATCATAAACAATCAAACAGTATAAAACCTGCTGATATAATCAACAATATAACCAACAATCCATTAGAGCAGTGTCCTCTAAAGAATTTTGAGTTGGAAGAAAAACAAAGACCAATTACACATAAAAACAAATCAGTCCAAAACCCGAGTGAATAAGAATTATTTGACCTGGCTCCTAAGCCTTGAGAGGTCAAACACTAGGCAAAGGAAGGAAGAAGTTCCATAGCTGACATGCCGCTACCCAAAAGACTTTGCCTTGCCTCTAAAAGTGGCAGTTCACAGAGCAGATCCTCTGCAAAAGATCTTAATTGTTGGGCAGACTCATGAGATCAAACAGATCTTTAAAAATCCTGGACCTGGACAATTTAGGACTTTAGCAGAGCAATTCTTTGTAGGTTACCACGGTTTGTTGACATAAAATATGCACTTTGAGTTGTGGCCAGAAGTAAATAGGTAACCTATACACCATTCTTTCAAAAGAACTGTCAGTCTGTTCAGACAATATAGGGCCAGGGCCACTTATATACTTTCAACAGTGAACGCTGATCTAAACATACTTAATGCTGCATAATGTGAACTGGGGTTGCTGAACAAAAATCCCATATGCTTCTTTCTCCAAGGTGGGCAGGCCAGGGGGGGCCCTGGAAGGATCCGAGAGGTATTTAAATGTCTCCCCATGCCTTCCCCGGCCTTTCCAAGGGCCGGCTTGCCTGGGCTCCCCGCAGTCGCAGGGCGCCCGGGCAAGCCAAGGGCAGGCATGGGTGTGTGGCCTAATATGCTAATGAGCTGCACTGTCATGGGTGTGGCCTAATATGCTAATGAGTTTCTGCTGTTGGGTGTGGCCTATTTTGCTAATGAGTTCCTGCTGGACTTTTTCTACAAAAAAAGCCCTGCTTATAGTAATCTAATAAGCTGCTTAGAAGCAACTAGACCTTCTCAGAGGGCCACTTCTAATTTTTGACTCCCCTACACATGAACACCAAAAAAGTGAGACGTAATTTAGTTTTAACAAATGCTTTTTTAGCCCCGTCCCTTGAGCTTGAGGCCGAGACTGCCCCCTGTTGGCCCTGGAAACGACCCGGTTTTATCCACGAAGGGCTCATTTCCCCCTGATTCAACTACCAATAGATATTTCTAGATGTCAATTTGGTTCCCTTAAGCAAGAGACTTTTGTTAGTCTTAGGGCTCTCACCCCAGTGGGTACAGAACTGTCAGTAGGAAAACGCAGACTTCAAAATGTTACTGATATGAATTAAAGGGCTTATTGAAAGGCATTACTGTGCAATATACTACAAAATCAAATTGCTAACTGAAATAGATGCATGATAGAGGAATATATGAAAAGGTATGGATACAAAATCATCAGTAAGAGGCAGAAATAATATAAGCAGATACCTAGACAGTGCTGAAGCATGAGTCAATAAAGCACAATTCTAAACCAGTTTTACATCAGTACAAGACACAATAGATAGTTGAGAGATGGACGACAAACCTTGTAAATATTTTTGAAACAAAAGGTTGCAAATATGAGATGCATAGTGCATCTACATGTTAAACTGTGAATTGCTTCCAATGCTCCCTCTAAGCAGTGGAGTCCTGTGAGCAAAAATTCTACTTTGCG